GAAGCCCAAAGCTCTGGAAGTACTATACCAAGTGCTATAAATACTTGGTATTTATACCAAGTACCTATAGTACTACAAGGCCAGATCTAATGTACCAACCTAGGGTCATTCTGACCATAAGCAATGTTGCTTAGTAACACAGTTGATATTGTAATTCTTATCATGTTTCCAGGGGAACAGAGCTAGAAAATTAACCCGACGTCAGATTCTCATGCAGGAGTAGAAAGGATTTGTTAACCCTCTGCCTACACTGGGCCTCCCAGAGGTTTTCTTTCTGCTAAGCAGGTTCAACTCTTGCAACTAAGCATTCCTACTAGTAGTGCTGCTTGTATCAAGGATACCTCTGCTCACTTGTGTTCTGATATACATTCCTTGATGGGAAAGAATGGGGAAGGTTTATAATTCGAAGGCTGGAAATTTTGCATAACCCTGGGTATGTCTGTTGGAGTATGTTAAAATTTGGATATCACCTGTCACATATTGATGTACTGGGGTGATCTTTTGGGAGGGTTTCTTAGAAGATGTATTTGGGTACCATTAACTTCTAATATCTGGTATGTTTTCTTTATTAACTCTATTCCCTCAAGTGTAAATTCTTCCATTTGTTAAGACTGTTCTGTTTCTTCCACTCGTTTTCCTCAAATAGTTGGTGATTGGTGATTGGATACTCATGTTTGTGGTTGAGATTTCCCTGGTAGACACAGGGAAACAGATGTCTGCCACATCTGTTTACACAGCTCTGTTACAAAAGGGGTGAAAGCTGCCACTGCCTAGATGTAAATTCTGGTTTGTTTCCCATGAGACTCGGGGAGAGTAAAACTACCTAATTGTCTAGTCTTCTAGGTGAAGCTGATCTCTGTTCCTCTCGGGCATTACCAGTTACTCCAGGCAACAAAACACTCCTATTTATCCTACTTCTTTTAATTTTATGGTGACAAATTACTGAAATCATTCATGGCCAAACACATCTAGGAATCACTAGTATTTCCAGTAATGATTTGGGGCAGGGAAATTTTGTCATAGATTTAAGATGATTCTATTAAAAAATAGTAGTAGCTTCACAAGACCCCTATCCTCAAAACTGACGTGTTTACATTTATCATTACTATTTGGAAAATGAATATAGCCTAATCATAATCATACAAAATTTATCTGAGTTTTTTTTTTTTCCCCCTAAATAAAGTATCTGAGGGACTGAAAGATTTCAGAAGCTCAAAAAATAGTAGCCAAAGTTCTGGAACAACTTAAACTACAGAAATTTTATACTGGTACTGAGATTCTTCAAAACCCCACAATGAAAAATGAAGCTACCCAAAACCAATGTAGCAACTGGAAAGCTATGCCCACATGAAAGAGTCAAATGGTATACGGAGGCCTAGTTCCAAGTACTCCAGCCGAGAAAGGCTCTTCTGACAAGCAGAGATGGTTTGAGGCACAAAACAATCCGTATTTCAGTCAACAAATATGTTCCAGGCCTTCTGCTCGGGGTGGACAAAAAGTACATAATATTCAGCTCCTGTTCTTGAAGAGTCTATGGAAAACCATATAAACACCATGGCCTTACTTGACTTTGCCAGAACAGAGATAGAGAGTCAAGGAAATGTTGTTTGATTTGGGGGGGAAAAAGAAGACAGAAAAAGAGAAAAAAAAAAAACAGCTCCAAATTAGAATCCTACCTCCCACTGGAAATGTCTTGTTTGTAAGTTTTGGTATGAAGCTGCTGTAAACACTTGGCTGGAAACAAGAGTCCTCTCTCCTCTGAAGCCCTTACCTGTGTGTTTTCAGACGCTAATGAATATCAACGCCTAGCCTATCATGGAACGGGGAGAAACAGCTTTTCGTCTGGAAGGAATCATACACAGGGCTTCTTCAGGGACAACGATAATAACATTTTAGAGCCAAAAAATAAAAATAAAAAGAAGATGTACAATATCAGCTCCTTTTTGGTGGGGGTGAGGGGAGCTCCCCTTGTGCCAGGCATGGCACTGGATGTCTTAGCTACAGTATCTAATTCATTGCTTACACCAGTCCCAAGAGGCTGGTTTTGTTCTCATTTCACAGTTGAGAAGAGTTTCAATAGGGGTGAAATGACCCATTCAAGGTCCCAGAACTAGAAGAAGCAGAGCTGGGATCCAAACCCAAAGGTCGATCTGACTCCCAAATCCATACTCTTTCCAGAGGACCAAAGTCAACAGAACTCAAAAAATGACAAGTTCTTTCTGTTTTGTATCGTCCCCTGAAAATTCAGCCAAGGAGGAATGGAAAGACCGAGATAATTGACTCTGACAAATTCTAGGACATGTTCTCTTTACTCGGCTCCCCCTTGCAGCTCATGCCTCTTTAAAACTTGTCCCAGAAAGTTTGGAATCCTTAGACGGTCTCCCTAGACTTACAGCCACTTCAACTACACTCTGAATCCTGAAAGAGATTCCGGAAGGGAAGATGGAAACCATATAACAGAAAATATAACAGGAGCCATGCAACTGTGTTGAGTTGGGGGCAGGGGATACGTCACACGATGAGATGTATATTTTACAAGTTTCAGTCTGGTGGCCATGAGGATGGAGCTGGTCAGAGAATATTAAGCCTCCCATCCAGCGAGACCATTTAGAAATCAAATGCAGTAATAGCAGTAAGAGGAAACGAGGGACTGAACCATGCAGTGAGGCAGCAATCTGGGGAGGAAGGATTGGAGGAATGGGAGACGGCACAGGAGTAGCATCAGTGAGACCTACTGACCAGCTGGCGGTAGGAAGGAGGGAAGGATAGGAAGGAGTGTGGGGTGAGTCCCAGTTTTCTGACCAAGCTGACCGGGTTGATGGTGATGCCGTTCTTAGAGACTGGGGGCAGGGGGGAAAGGAGGAACAGTCGGTTTGGGGGGAAAGATGTTGGCTTTAGTTTTGAGGTGGTTGTGGGCACTCCTGATGGAAATGTTCCATAGGCAGTTGGATCAATGGATTTGTCCCTTCTTTCATCCTACAAATATTTACTGACTTTGTGATATATACCAGATGTTGAGCTTGGCATTAGGTGTGGCGTGACAACAAAAACAGATGTGTTCTGTGCCCTTACGAAGCTCACAGGCAATAAACACACACACACACACACACACACACACACACACACACACACACATTTGCTGTGTGGGACAGAAGAGAATAAGGTGCCCTGAGAAGAACCAGCCTGAGAGGGTGAGACTTGACAGTGGAAACTGGAAGGCTGAGCTGGATCAGGTTCTGGAGCTCAGAGGTGGTGACGTCTGGCTGGAGATGGAGGGGGTGTCATCTGCATAGAGGCGGGAATTGAAGAGTGGCGGGGTAGGTGAGTCAGAGAAACTGCCCTATTCTACAGGCTGCTGGGGTAGGGATGGGGGCTGAAGAACTAGGTACCCCAAAGGCCAAGGCCAATAGTTTCCATCCTCCCAGCCATCACGATTCATACTCATAGAAAGCAACGTCTTGGTGTGTCTGACTGAGGTTGTTTTCTGCCCAGGGACCACGGGCACGTTGCCATCTCTCCACTTTGGGCATATTTGGCACATGAAAATATGCACACGGCACCCACTGATTTGGCCTGGATGGCGGGAGACATGAGTAATCCTCTGATTAAGTTAATTCCAGACTGGATTGAAATATTGATGCTAACTTGGGATAAAAAAAAAAAAAAAAAAGAGTCAACTTCTGTCTCGCTCATCCTCCATCCTCTACTCTCAACTGAAAGCCAAGAGACATGGTTTAGGAGCCCAATTAAGCCCGATCCATCCTGGCAGAAACAGAGCATCCAGTGAGTGTTTCAAAACCACTTGGAACCATTTAACAGAGAAAAGTGCATTGAGCCCAAACTGGGAGCTGTTCAGCTATTTGTGGATAAGATCTCCAACAACAATAATAAAAGGGAACATTTATTGAGCACTTCCTACGTGCTGGGCACTGTTCAATGCATTCAATCTTCAAACAGCCTTATGAAGGATTTATTCTTAGGACCTCTATTTTGTAGACGAAGAAACTGAGGCACAGGGAGGTTAAAGGCACTTTTCCAAGACACCCTGGCTTTTAATTGGAAGAGCCTGGATTTGAACCCAGAAGTCTGGATCACAGAGCCTATTCTTTAACCACTCGATAAACAGCGTCACTACTGCAGTAGTTAGAGTGAACAAGCCTGTGTACACAGGAGGAGGGGCCTGATTTGTGAGATGCTGGGGGGGAGATGTTCCCTTAGGAACAGGTCCACATCTCTGTGGACCTGTTCCCAGGGGAAGAGGGGACGCCTCCAGGCAGCCTCCTTTCCTGATGGTGGTTTGGATTCCTTGCCTCTGAGAGGGTGAAACCATCCTCAGAAAATCTTGGGATTTTCCAGGTAGAAGGCAACCTGGAAAGCGCTTGGTGCAGCTGCTCGTTTACAGATACGGAGGCTGAGGCATGGGTAAGTGGACAGATGGCGCTGCGGAGCAGCAGAAGCCAGGTCAGAGGGAGCTTCCTCTTCCAGGGAGCCCTGCCTTCCTTCTCTGCCATGAGGATTCTGCTTCATGGGAACTGCTATGCTGTCTCCTGCCCACATGAGAGGCCCACTTCTGGCTGAGTAAGTGTTATGGTTTCCCCCTGGAATCCCCAGGGCAGACAGGGTGAAATGAAGATAAAACATCTCCCACCCAAGGAGCTGGTATCCCCCTAAGGTGCCTTCACAAGGAAGCCCCCTTGCACTGCAGAGGCCTCATCCCTCCAGATTTGCAGACCCTCTCTTCTGACCCAGGCCACTGTTATCCCAAACTGGACCAGCCCTATGCAAACCCATTTCAAAGATTCCACCCAGGCCTCTGATAACCCCTCAAGGTCGTCTAGACCCCTCCAGTGAGTTTCTGGAAACTGGGCAGTTCTGACCCCCAGCATCCCTCTCCTCCCCCACTCCTGTACCACCCTGGAGGCAATACCTACTGACCATAAGGTGGTGTTGGCCAGAGGGAGCCACTCTCTTCGGCCATCCAAAGCCAACACAAGTCTTACCTTTCCACCTGGAGGTTGACTTTGGAGGGCTCCACGTTGGGATTTTCCCATTCCATCTGCGGGCAGTGCATGAAATAGCAAAGGGTGTACAGGGCCTCGGGCTCCCAGTAGAGCGCCCCCTGCTTGTGGTGCAGGGGGGTGCCATTGCCATGGTGCTTGGCGTTGAGGGGCTGCAGGTGATGCATTGCTCGGGACACCAGGTCACCTGTGGACAGAAGTAACATTTCAGATCCTTCAGGCAGCTAAGACTTGCAGAGAAGATGTGCCTGGAGATCTCGCCAGAGATTTCCATCCCGAGATTCCCTCATTCAACGGGAGTGGTCCCATGAGACCTCCAGGCCACACATCAAGCAGAGAGGAAAGCATTTGTTCATTTACCACACACTGTCAAGGGCTTACCAGGTCTGGGGTGCTGTTTCAGGCACAGAGGGCTGCTGATAACTCCAGTCCTGCCCTTCTGGGACCCCTTGTTTCTAACAAGGCACAGAAAGCCCTTTGTATGTGTCTGCTTCCGGCCTCCCTCACCTTGGGACACACCCTCTGTCACATCCTCTGCTGTAACCAGCACTGCCTTCTTTGCAGTCACAAGAACTGTCACTTGCCTTTAAGCCTGGGCATACACTATTCCCTCTATCCAGAACATTTTCTCTCGCCTCTTTTCCAGGCTAACTCCTACTGATTATCCAGGTGTCGGCTTATATATTAATTTCTCCAGGAAGCCATCCTGGAATCTCCCACACTCCCCTGTGTCTCATATCACACTGTACTTTCTTGGGTACAGCATTTAGAGCACTGTGTCACAATAATCTTTTTCTTTGTCAGTCGTTCCCAACAACAGCGACTCAGTCCTAAATGACACTTGTTATGCGATAGCACTAATTCATTTGATTCTCACAATACCCTATAAAGTAGGTACCTTTATAAACCCATTTTACAGATGAGGAAACAGAGGCTCAAAGAGGTTAAATAACTTCTCAGGGGTGCACAGCTATGAGCAGCAGAGGGAGGACTTGACCCCGGCAGTCTGGCTCCAAAATCCATGCACTTAACTGTGCTCCTTGAGGGGCATGTTTTACTTTTCTCAGCACTGGCAAACCCTGAGAACACTCTGGTCTTTCTCACGCTTTCTCAGAAGTAAACCAGCCTTCTCCTTAATCAAACCAAAGCTGCATGCTCCCAGATTGGCCATGGAGGGAAGATCCTCCTGTGGGATGCTGGCTGGGCCTGAAGCCCTGACTTTTCTTGGCTAAGATGGTGTTTCTGAATCTTGGATTGCTTGTAAGTGACCTTCGTGAGTGTAGCTGTATCCAAACACCACCCGTACCATTATTTACTTAATCTTCAATGGACTCCTTTTGTTTTTTAAAATACATATATCTAAAAAGGAAACATTATGCCACTGCCATAAACGGAAAATCAGTATCACCTGCCATAAACAGAAGGTCATTGTGAAAGTTAACCTGATGAAAAGGAAACAGCGTAATTAATTTATAGCTGAATTCTGGTCCTGCTTTCTACTCTTATAAATAACGAGTGAGAGCATTGTTAGGGGCTCATATCAAGTGGAGCCTTTCTTCTGAAAGCAATTAGAATTAAAATAGAATTTAAAAGAGTCACTCCCATGACCAATGTTATTTAAGGCACTGCCCCTGTCCCACTGGAAATCATCTCATGCACAGTGGGAGGTGTTGCACACTTGGGGAGACACTCCTCTAAGATATCTGTGATGGTGAATTTTATGTGGCAACTGGGCTAGGCTACGGTGCCCAGTTGGCTGGTCAAACACTAGACTAGATATTGCTGTGAAGCTATTTTTTACATGGGATCAACATTTAAATCAGTAGATTTTCAGTAAAGCAGATTACCCTCCATAATGTGGGTGGGCCTCATCCAGTCAGTTGAAGGAAGGCCTTAGGAGAAAAGATAGAGGACCTTGAAGAGGAAGGAATTCTGCCTTCAGACTCATGACTGAAACATCAGCTCCTACTGGAGTTTAAAGCCCCCATTCCCAATCCTTCATTGCCCAGCTGAAACCAAGCCTGCAGAGCCCACCAGTTCTCTGCCATCCAGCTGTACTTTTTAACATGACACTTTTTACCTAAAATCCAAACCCAAGAAAGTGAGGCTCAGTGAGAGGCAGGAGTTTCTCCTCTGAAGGCCCAGGGCCTGCCTTCTAGGTTCCCATTTCCTATCTGAGGAAAATGGCCACTTCCTCAAAAGAAGACTGACAAGAGGACCATTCACCCTCTCTGTGGGAGTGAGACTATGGAGATGAGGTCTCACCTGAGGGTGGAAATGGCAAATATTCCCCCTTCTCTTCCATGCCCATGGCAGACATGCTTAGTCAATCACAGAGCCCTTATCCACTAAGTGTAGATGCAGCCTTAAAAATCCTCTTGAGGCAAGATTCCAAGTGACCACTATTTCTGATAGGAGTTGTCAGAGGAAAGGAAACTTCTATGTTGCCAGAGTCCTAAGGCCTCATCAAGACGACCTAACCAGAGTACAATCCACTAAGCTTAATATCTGAACAGTGATGCAGGAGTTAAACAGATAGCAGTGGGGCAGGGTGGGGGGAAGGTTTGCTTCCCTACCCCCCTCTGCCTCTTATCAAGCCTAACCTAGAGTCTGACCCTCCTTCTCTCCATTTGCCACAGCAGGAAAATATATGCAGGAACCTCAAAAAAGAATCAGAGAAGGAAATTCTCTTTTAGTGGCAGGTGGGCAGGGAAGATCCCCAGGGGACCTGCAGATGGAAAATGTGGAGAAACATGGCTCTACATGAACAACAGTCCCAGCTGCCATTCATTGAGCGCCTACCCTATACCAGGCACTGTGAAAAAGCACCTCACGTGCATTGTTTCTAATCCTCACACGGCTCTATAGGGTATGTTTATATTATTTTAGCTTTAGAGCAGTGATCTGTAACCAGGGTGGTTTTGCCTCCCAGGGGATGTTTGGCAATATCTGGAGATATTTCTGGTGCCACGTCTGGGGGGCTGTTACTGCATCTAATGGGTAGAGGGAAGAAATATTCTTAAACATCCTACAATGCATAGATCAGTCCCCACAAGAAAGAATTTAGCCCAAATGTCAATAATGCCCAGGTTGAGAAATCCTGTTTTACAGATAAGGAAACTGAGGCTCAAGGTCACAAGGTAGAGATAAGATTCCAACCCAGGTCGTCTGACTCTAATGTCTGTGCTCATCGCCCTACAATGACCTGAGTCCTTCTTTCAGAGACATCCTGCTGCATCTGTGGCCAGCTCCAAGTCTATGATGGGGTCATTTGTCATTATGTAGCCAAGGTGTTAATGTATGCTCCTTTCCCTTGATTCAGTAAGTCCATTTCTGGGACTCTGTCCCAATGTTAGAATCCAAAATGCAGCAAAATCTTCATGCACAAGGATTTTCACCCAAACCTTATTTACAGGGTCCAAAATTTGACAAAGAAACAAATGTTTGAAAATCAGAGCGTGGTTAAATAAACTCTGGTATGTGATAAAACTTATGCAGTTACCAAAAATGTTTACATAGAGTGGCAATAAATGATGAAAAGCTTTGTGTTAAAACGGAAAGTGGGGAAAAAAGTGAAATTCAAAACTGCATACAGTGTGATCAGGATTATGTTTTTAAAAAATATGCTCTGAGTAAATACCAGGAGAAAAAAAAAAAGCAAAATGTTGACCAAAGATTTCTCTGCCTAGTGGGATTGTGGGTGACATTCCCTTCCAACTTTTCTGTCATTTCTGAATTTTGAATTATGGCATGTGCTATTTGGTATTATCGGAATAATAAGCTTACCGAGGTGGTGTTTAAATTTCTTGTATCTTCCATCTAGGGTCAGGTTGGGGTACACTTAATCTGTCACAATATTGCTTCTGTTTTATGTTTTAGATTTTTGGCCAGGAGGCATGTGGGATTTTAGCTCCCCAGCCAGGGACTGAACCTGCACCCCCTGCATTGGAAGGCAAAGTCTTAACCACTGGACCACCAGGGAAGTCCCCCTCTGTCTTTCTTGAAAGCACTCATAAAAAAGCTCAAAATAAGAAAATCAAAATGGAGTGGAGATGAGAAGAGGATCCATGTTTTGGGGCAGTGCATCACCCCTCAAGTTCCCCAAGACCCTGGGAAGGCTTTGGCCTTGACTGGGCTAACCATCTCCTCAGAGCATCGTTCAGCTCACCCTGCACTTCCAGGTTCCCTGCTTTTGCTTTTGCTCTTGTTGTTCTCTCATCTTAGAGTGCCCCCCCCCCACACCGCTTCATCCTCTCAACTACTGACGACCTTCAAGGCTGTGATCAAATGCCACTTCTTCCCTGGAGCCCTCCAGGATGTCACAGATCAGAATCAACTTCCCATTCCCCTGTGTACACACAACACCTGCTAATAAAGCCTAACATGTTACTTGTTTAATTCAGATGTGTTTTAAGTGCCCACACATCTACTTCCCCTACTAAGCTTCACAGGCAGAGACATGACTCATTCATTGTCCTGTTCTTGGAGGAGCAGTGTAGTGTAGTGTAATGGTTAGGGACAAGCTCTCTGGAGTCAGACTGTCTGAGTCTGAGTCTCCAACCTGCCACTGACTAGCTGCATGATCTTGGGTGAGTTTACTTCTTTGTATACAAGGATGATTATGACCTTTGTGAATTTGTTGTGTGGATTAAATTGATAACATGTATAAAGTACCCAGCATTGGTTTCTTCATTTGAAAAATGGAGATAATAATAGTGCCTAACTCATAATATGAAATGAAGCAATCACAAATCACTTAAAGCACCTGGAATAGGGTCTGGCACATCCTAAGTGTATATAATAAGTATTCAGCACTATTTCTTTTACTTTGTATCATCCCATCATCATCATCACCATCTTCATCATCACCATCTTTTCCATCATCATGACCACCATCATCATCACTTTCATTATCATCTTCATCATCATCGCCATCATTTCTATCTTCATCATTTTCACTATCATCATCACCACATCATTATCATCATCATCATTGTTATCAGCCGAGTCTCTGGATCAGAGGCCAAAAGGATGTCTCTGATGAGGGCTGGCCATAGGAGATGGAATTGGCACGGGGATTCTGTAATCACAAGCTCCATTTCAAATCCCACTCTATGTATGTGCTATCTGCTGCTTCACCTGTCAGCTTCATGAACCCCAAACAACAAATCCACTTGTCACTAGCTG